AGTTTGGAGTAATGCGACCCAGCCCAGTGCTATTGACTTTCACAGGCAAGAGACTTTCTTTCTCGCCAACAATAATTACCATTTTGGACTGTAATTATTCACTTCTTTTAAATTATTCAGGGACCGAGCTGAATGCCATATTGTTATCCATTATTTCTGTTACTTACCCATCATGGTTGGATTCGGGGCAGGTACGGGAATCCGACACCTCACACGATATTTAATTTAGCCCCTTTGTTGATCCTTAAGAAATTAGAGACCCCATTCTAGAACAAAGAACACTCAACGATGTGACAATATACCTTGGTTGTTATACTGATGATAATAATAATAATGGGCTAATAATAATAATACAAAAATAATGAACAATAACAATTAACGACAACAAAACAACAACATCAATAATGCATTATTATTATTATTATTATTTCAAATGGAAAATAACCGAAAAGCTCTTTAGTAGTAGTTTATTAAATGTCATCAACTGGACGTTAATCGACGGGAGATACTTCATTATAGTTTCTCTATTCAACATTTCTACATAAAAGCTGCAGTCAGTTTCAACAGTACAGACAGAGACATAGGCTACATACCTGCGTGAATCCTAATTATTAAAAGCATTAAACACGCAAATTTGAGTCCCTGTTAAAAATTGCAATCTAAATGAAAAAATGTAGGCCAATTTATAAACGTCCACGTAAATCCAATTTGTGTCAACTGTGTTACTGTTTATTTATATATTTATTACTTAGGCTACTTTAGTTATTTATTTAGGCCTATCCCATTTATTTATTACTTAAGTCAAAACACACCGATTAAATAGCCTACATTTCTTTTCTTTTTTAACTCATTGCGTCGCTTTGGCGATCACATCATAAAATAGCCTAATACTGCAAGTAACACCGCTGAACTTTGAGAGTAACACTAATGACGACGGACATTTCTGCAAGACGTAGGCCTATGTTAGGCATCAAGATGATCAATTACGAATGAATATATGAAATCATAACAATTTGTTTACCCTTATACGCAGCTCATATTACCCTTAAATAGGCTACACCTTGTGTTTTAAGAAATTAAAAATTTCCAACTGTATGATTTTTCTTTTCAAAATATAGGAGTAGGCCTGTTGAAAAACGTAACAAGCCTGACCAAACGCAATATTTCAAGCTTAATTACTATTGGATTGCACGTGCTGGCATATCGACAGATTAGAACAAGAACACTGTAGAAACCGTGTTGTGTTGTTGTAAAGCGTCAGGGAGGTTCCAGTGACCCCTATTCATTCCTGTTAGACAGCTCGTTTGGACAAGTTTAATGGTCTTTGAAGAAAGAGCAGACTAAATGTAACTTTCTTTAAAAGTTACAAGCCAAAACCTATAAATATGAACATTAAACAACCCCTTACAAATTCGCCTCAGAATGGTGCTTGAGAGTAAACACTATTCCTACAAGGTATCAGCATAAAACCATGACCCCAATAAATTTAATTTTAGGGACAAATCAATCCTCTTCTCCTTTATCGATCCCAGCTAGCTCGCCACACTTGGGACGCGTTTCAACGCCTTTTTTTTTTGTTTCACTTCGAAATAGCATTTCGATTAGATCCTTTATTAAGAGCGGATTGCTCCAAAAGGATCAGTGTGGCCAGAAAATTAAATGGTGACAATTTAATTACTGGACATTGATAAAGGCGTCCCGGTAATAGTTGTGTATGAGGGCTGGCACACTGTGTCAACCCAGGTGGACTGAAAACAAAGTGAAGGCTGCGCAGCACACACTGCACAATACAAACGAGAAAAGGCGCAACAGCTGCACTACAAATGAGCGACTGAAAAGGATGTGTGTTTGTGAATGGCGAAGCAGTCAGCAAATCACACCGGCTTAATTATTTATAAGATGGATGTTTTAAAATTTTACAAAGGTGTTTGTATGTCTCGGCAACATTTCAATAAGCAAAAAAAATATTACAAGTTTGCCAGAGTGTGCTAAATGTATGTGTATCGCGAATAGAGTTCGACTTTTCGATTACCATAACATCGCTAATCGTGCATCGTAACGCTATATCGACAAAACATAAATAGGTTTCACAAATTTACCAGACTAACATATATGTTCAAACATATCCACATAATTATATATATATAAAAAAAAAACATTTGCGCAAGATTATTTGAAAGGTTAACCACTGAATATGTACAAGAAAACTGGTGGAATTTTGCTGCTGAATATTCAATGAAAAGTGGGCCATTGTGCTGCTGTTAAAGCAGGTTGAGAAACTAATGAGTAAGATCAGTTTGAGAGATGGTATAAACCCTTTTCTTGGCTCCCATGTCCTTGGCCCCTGTATTATTGATATGAGTGCACACATAAGTTTTTATGCTGCTTTGTCTCCGTCCTCCAGCGTGCCTATAAGGGTCAGGGTAGGGT